TTTTGGAGGAGGGGGGTAGGACTTTGTGTTGAAGGAGTGTGTGTGACAATAATGTGAGGCAGCAAGGGTACACATGGAGAGGGAAGCCAGGGTGACTTTACAGAGGGCGGAGTGTGTGTGTGGCAGGCAGGCGGGGCCTTGTGTCGGGGAGAAAGTGTGTGTGGTAGGGGAGGTGTGTGGAGGTGTGTGAGGGGTGGTGGAGGGGTGCGGGGATCTTTCATGAGGAAGGTTTGTGAGGGGTGACCTGTGTGTGTGAGGGAGCAGTGTGAGTTAGAACCATGGAAAATGTTAGAGACATGTATATTTGCAGGGTTTGGGGTACACAGAGCATGAGGACAGAGAGTCAGGATGGAGTGTGGGGATGGTGGGAAGTGTGGAGCATGACGGGTGCACGTGTGTCTGACTGTGGAGGTTTAAGTGCAGGAAGTGAAGTGCACACGGGAAGTGTGGGGCCATTGTGGGTGACAACAGTGTGTAGGGAATGTAGCTAACGTCGCATGAGTAGCAAGATCTCCCTCCGACTTGTCCGGGCCTTCATCACAGACGGCCTAGAACTGTAATGGAACCCAAAGTAGGGGGAACATATTCTTATTCTTTTTATTTTAGCTTGACTTTCAATAAACACCACCCAAGAATAACTGATGTGTGTCGTTGCCAGGTGTTGTCACAGGAGTTTGCTTTTACTTGGGCCCCACCCATATCCAGGGCTGAATGCATTTTTCTCCCGTGTCTGGACTGTCTGGACACTGAGCAATCGTCCCCTCAACCCTCTCCATCCTACCAAGGGCAGAAGGAGGTATACCTCCTGCTGGAATGGGAGGGGAGGTCCAAAACACCAATGATGAGGTGGGCTTGTGAGTGTGCCCTTGAGTGAGGAGAGTGTGCTGAAATAGGGTGGAGAGGGGTGGGGTAGGGGGATGTAAGTTTAGGAAGCCTGGCTGAGGTCAGTAGATGGGGGGATGGGGGAGGCAGTGATGGTGGGGGGGTGGGGTAAGAGGAGCTGGATGTAGGCAGGGCAGGCTGGAAGGTGCCCCCTCAACCCTGCACCAGCACCAAGCACTCTGCCCTCCCTCCTCTCCAGGCCCACATCTCATGGTTCCCCCAGCTCTTCGTTCTTTCCTCCTTGGCCCTCATCCCAAGGTGTTCCCAGCTCTCCAGTCCCATGTCCACCCTCCGTGCCCCCACCCCAGGCTGAGAAACCAGGAGTTCCAGACCTCAATTAGCAAGGTCGGGGGAGAGGACAGCGAGGCCCCAGGTCCCTACCTTTAGACACTCACAGCCAAGTGCATCCCAGGCGCCCTCCAGGAGCAGCAGATGCAGCAACAGCAGAAGCTCGGAATCTGGCCCTGAGCTGGGGCTAAGGGAGATTGACTCATCCTTTTATACTAAATCCAACTCTGCCTCCGCATGATAATGCCTATTGGGCAGAGTCACCCCACCTTTCCTGGGTACTTAAGCACTTCGTGTGTATATATATATACTTTGTGTAGGATGATTAATTTTTTTCAGCTCCATTGCTAACAGCTAGCGCTTAGACAGGATCACATAATTTTTGTAACTCCCTGCACTTGGCACTATTCTCTCAACATGGTGGATGCCTCTCCCAAATATTTGTTAGGTCTGCTGTACTGGCATCATATGCACACTGTGAAAGTTCTCAGTAGCAGCCACGTGGATGCCTGTGTAACTTCCAGATGGTTAAATGGAGACAACAGTGAGGATTGGGGGGAAAGGACACTAGGTCTGTGGACTCCCCTCTCTGCTAGTCCTGCCTTTCAGAGGAATGTACCTGATATCACAGAGACTAGAATTCTGATAGCTTTCTTTTTCAGCTACAACAAACTACCACAGACTGGATGGTTTAAAAACAACATTAGTCAAAGAAGAGAGAAATCTGCCCATAAAGCTGAACTTCCAGAATCCGTTGTTTTGTCCACATGCTTGATTTCACAAAGCATGTTGATTTGGAAGTGGGAAGACCTTCCTCCCAAAAGTCCACTCCACGGGGCAGCGGGTACTGTAGAGTGAAGGGAGAAGGGGGCAGGAGGGGGAGGGGCCCCTGCCTGTTGGAGATGATAACCCTGTTTAAGAATCAAGGAAATGAGAGCCTCTGAGTTTACTTCTGTAAACAGACTGAACCGGCAACCCTGTTGTTCAGAGTTCGCACTCTAATCAACTGAGCTATCTGGACGCCCTGAAAAGTGGATTTTATTTTATTTATTTAATTTTTGAAAAGATTTTATTGGGGAATTGGGGGAGGGGAACAGCGCTGGGGAATCAGGGAAGGAGGCAAAAAGTGGATTTTATACAACAGCCGGGGATGACCAGCTCAGTGGTTGGACTGAGAAGAAGCCCCAAAGCACTTCCCAAAGACAAATTTGCGTCAAAAAAAGGTCATGATCACTGTTTGGTGGTCTGCTGCCGGTCTGGCCCTCTATAGCAGCAGTTCTCAACCTTCCTGATGCCGCGACCCCTTAATACAGTTCCTCATGTTGTGGTGACCCCCAACCATAAAATTATTTTCATTTGCTACTCTATAACTGTAATTTTGCTACTGTTATGAATCGTAATGTAAATATCTTTTTGCTTTCCGATGGTCTTAGGCAACTCCTGTGAAAGGGTCGTNTCACAGCAGCCCAGCTCCAGGTCGAGCTGTTGTTCAGCATCTTAGCTGTGGAGGGCAGTGTCACTGGCCCTCATATGTGAGATCCGAACCGGGGCTCTCTGGCATCCCAAGCCATTCTTAACCAACGTGCCACTCGGCTGGCCCAGAAAGTGCATCATTTCTATGTAGAGACAGATCAAGGGACAGGGGCAGGTGAGATCAGGGCTCACCTCTCCCATGTCCTTACCAGACTACATCCTACCCAATGGCCAGAGCCAGCCCGCTTCTCACCTTCCATGGTGCATGGTCTCCTCCTAAGTTTCATGACATGATGACAACTAGGACTGAGCAGATAACGATTGTGGGGATGACCCGTGGAATTAACGGAATGGCTGAAGATTTGGAGGAGTCTGGAGACCTTGATGATGATACTAAAACAAAGAAAAAAACAAAAGCCCTGTCAAACCTGAAAACACACCCTCCTCAAGACCTGCTTTCCCCAAGCAGCACACGTCACCCCCATATTTCCTGACATTATGTGACAGCCACTCTACCAGGTCCTGTGGCCTAAAGACGAACAGGGTTGTGCCCTGTCCTCAGGGAGCTCATATTTCTACTGCGGGGGCAGCAGCTGGCCACCTGATTATCGCAGTCGGACATGTTTAATGTGTGGAGACCTCTTTGAGGCTGACAGAATAGGGGATGCTTAATTCTGTCTGTGGAAGGAGGTGAAGGCTCCATAAGAAGTGACATTTGAGCTGGTTGAAGAATAACTATTAATATAACAGAGGGAGAAGAAGAGACCTGGAAACACAACAGTGCATAGAGGTTTGGGACCATCTAGCAGTCCAGGGTGACTGAGTCACTGGTTAATTGGAGAAGGGGACGCCTGTATTGAGGGAGCTGGGATGGGAAGGAGGATGGTGGGAAATCCTATGGCAGTCACTGACTCTCCAGACAGTAAGTCCACCAGGAATCGACTAGTTGATCCATCCATCAGAATTTCCTTTACAGGGCTGGCCGAGTGGCTCATTGGTTAAGAGTGGGCTTGCGAGTGCGAGCTCTGAGCAGCTGGGCTTTTGGTTTGGATCCTACATGGGCCAGAGACACTGCACCCGCTATAGCTAAGATGGTGAACAATAGCTCAACCTGGAGCTGAGCTGTTGTGAGTCGCTAGTGATGGCGTAGGCTGTAGCCCCTGTTGCAGTGGGCTGCCATAAGCTACTGTGAGTGGCCTGCAGCTGGCATAAGCGGCCAGCAGCCACTGTGAGCTGCCATGAGCCTCCATGAGCGGCCGTCCAATGGCTGGCAACCGATCTGCCTCAGCCGAGAAGAGAGCAGTGATCACAATACCACC